TAGGGCTCTCCCAAATAGCTTCCAGACTAGACACTGAGGTAAAAGTGATAGCACATGAAAGCTCAAAGCAAGAAAAATCAGAAAACTATCTGGCATTTATCATACTTTAAACGGCTGAGCTATTATTCAAGTAGGTGTAATCACATCCACGGCAATATCAGAACACCGCACCTGTCGAATTTCTGCCTTGACTTTCTGCAGTTTATGCGTTAATGCCACTTAAAAATCCTCAGTCGGCGCACGTGCGCTTGTCGAGTCGGGGACCACCAGTCGGACGATTCGGAACTGCCGGCCAATCAGCACGCCGCTTTTGTGATGTGGTAGTTTGAGAACCACTGGATATGGTAGCGTAGCAGCTTTTGGAAAGGCGCTACGCTACCAAATCCTCCCCTATTTGTCGCTTAAAGAGGGAATTGAAGGGCAGGATAAAAATACTTCAAAATATGAATTGTTGAATTTCGAGTATTAAATAAGCCCAATTTATATTGTTTACAGCATAAACGATGCTTTGTATGCTTCTAACAACAATAGCGCCCATAGCAACGTTACACGCGATCGCTATGATGCCTAAAATTCGATCTGAAAATAAGGGAGAAATAGGGGAAGATTAAGGGAACCCTATGTAAACACGGCTACTGTCGACGATGAGTCGGTGGTTTTGTGTGACACGTGCCTGAGTTAACGTCCAGAGGCCGTGCTACCTCCTGGCCTTCGAGGCCGCTGGTTACCGTGCTAAGTAACCGTGAGTGCGGGCCAGCTCAGCGAGGGTTGACCAAGAGATGAGGCAACTACTGCCTGCTGCCGATACTGGGTCTGTTCATCGTCGTGTTCATAGTAGATGGGTACGAGCAAGGCAAACAAGCGACTGGTTAACAGAGAGCAGGGCCCGTCAGCGGTGTGCGAGCAGAATATTCATGCTCTGGGCGGGGGAGGGGAGAGGCGCTGGCGTGTGCTGCTGTGTGTATGCAGCTCCCGTAGCCGGCGAGCTCTGCCGCGGATGGCTCGGGCCGTGTCCGGTAGCCGGTCGGACCTTCACTGCAGACAAACACGCAAACAATTACACCGCGGGCAGCGCGCGCCAACAAGGCTCAGTGGCGCCCGGCTAAGCACGGGATCGATGCCCTTATCGACCCAGCGGGTGCAGCCGGCACTCATGGCAGACAAATTTAAACAGCCCTCCGGCCGGCTTCAACCTGGCCTGTCTTTAATTAACCGCCAGGGGTAGATTTACGATAATGTATTGGGGAATGGTCGACACGAAATGCAGACTGTACAGCGGCGGCGAGTCATCCGATCAACAATGCGCCGCTCCCTCCCCCGCCGGCCGGCCGGGCGGACGCCGCCACTCGACTGGCCGTGAGCGAGTAACCGCCGGTCCACGGCCCACCAACGGGCACGTTGGACAACCACGGCACACCTGTGCAACCGTTTCCTGTTTTTGGTCTCTACAGACCGTAACGAGGCATTGTCATTTGTTGAACAGTGCCGGGCAAGCAGCGGGCACGGCAGTTGTGACTCACTATTTGCAGCTGTCTTTTGGCGCCGGCACATGCTCTGCTATTCGCCCTCCCCTCGATAGGCATCGGACGCAAACAACAATGAAACCGCCAGCAGAACAAACCTATCGGCCTGCCAGATCGGACTAACGGCGGAAGGAACAATAACCAACTGGCCACGGGTCTGTAGATAGGTGCACCATCCGTCCATTCATGTTTCAGCTCCGTCAGCAGGCACCCTTTCGCTAGGCAAAAGCAGATACTTTTGCTGAAATTTCGGAATCGAGATCTTCACAGGAAGGAGGCATCGTTGGTTGTCAAGAGCGGTACCTGCATACCATGGTTCTGTGATAATACCGTGGCAGGAACTGGATGGAATGTCATGAACGGGCGCGCCCCTTTCGTGCAAAGCAGAGGCAGAGCGCTATTTATATCCCTGCCGAAAGTAGCGTCAATTTTCACCGTAAGTATGTGTTCGTGCTTAGCTTACTGGCCTCCTGGCAGATACATCTTTCCACTGCAAGGTGCTTTCGAGTTTTATATGTAAATACCACTGTTTCCTGTTCTCTGCAAAAAGTATCATTTTCGTTTCTCCGAACGCCGAAGATCCACCTTTGCTTCCGTTCGTGATCGACGCCCCGTTGTCGTGAACGGCGGCTTAGTAGCCGTCGTCATGGGGGCTGTCCCCCCATACCTCACCCGTGGCGCATGCCCAGACTCCTGACACTGTGCGGATCTGCGCAGAGCGCCAAAATTATCCGGGACATCAGTGTTTGGTGTCGCATCAGAGCCCCGTTTACCTGGCTGTCTGCAGTGGCGTCGCAGCGTTGTCGCTCGTCCAAAAACCGATTACCGTGTCGCAACTGAGCGGGCAGAACAAATGGCGTGCAGCCTTGGCCATGTATCTGATGTATAGTGCAGCTCCAGGTATAGCAGCCAACGTTAGCACATTCCATGGGTCTTTTTCACAGAAGTTGGTTGGTAATCCTTTTGTTGTTATCGCCCGGCTGAGCGCAGGAATGTTTCCATTGTAAGCGTCGTGCGCTGTTAAGCTATCCACTTGGATCACTGGGCAGAAGTACACGGGTCGGGACCGGAAACGGTGTTCGCGAGGTGTCGCTAACCGGAAAACGCGTCCAGCACGCCATGGACAGCGCTGGTCACAACGGAGGACGATCATTTCTCGAAGAACGGCAGCACATCAAGGACGGCAATCAGGTTCGAGGTCCATCACAGACACCGTGGTTAATGACGCATCCCTGTGCGCTGGTCACCTCACTCATCAACGGCGTCTTCAAGGCGAACGGGCTAATTAAAGACTATTTGTTTTCGTTCGCTCTTCGAATCTCAAAACCTGATCAGTGGATGCGCCATTTCATATTCCTGGATCAGGTTTTTAAGAATCGTCTGTTTGTAAACATGTATCGCAACGTTAAGCAGATACAAAACATGACAGCAGTTTGCTTAGAACGTTCAAATAGTTTGTTGTTTCCTGCATCGAGAGAAGGAGCTTTCCTCCAATAAGACTTCATGGCTAAGTTAGCTTACCAGACCTGTTGTGTGACAGACGGCAGCAATGCGACGTCCGAGCCTCGGTGATCCGGGTGATGTTGGTACTTGGTTGGTACTACTGCGGTGCTGCGATTCCGAATAGTCCTTTCTTGTCTACAGTCGGGTCTCCGCAGCGTGGGTGAACGCAATCGACATCCCGACAAACTTGGAATGAGGACATCCACCAGCATAGTTGCTCTCTTCTAAACCGCCAGGGGCCGGCAGAACTTTGAGATGTATGTGTGCGTTGGCCAAGATCGCCAACTATTTTCCGCGGCTGTCTCCGTCAATATATGAGATTGGCTTGGGAGCTGCGAGCTACCAGCCGCCAGCGTCGTCCTTGTGGAGTGGAGGCCCTGCTCAAACGGTATGCGCCTGCTCACGGTAATTACGCGCACGTCCAAACTGTCCGATCGACAATGACTGAGAGGATATAAAGGAATTCGCCCAGGAGCGTCCATTGTCCAATGGCCATATCGCCGGCGCAGTCACCAGACCAGTGATTAGAGTTGTATGTGGTCTCTCCGTAGCCTTTGTCAGATGATATCCATCCAGTTCGCTGAAGGCCATCCAGTTGGGCCGGCCCGGCCACTCGGCTCCGACCAGCCCCGTATATTATTGATATTTACCGACAGGCCGCTCGGAGCGGCCACAGGTGGTATCATTAGACGCCGGTCGGCCGTTCAGAACCAATCACCCACTCGATCGGTGTCGGGCGGTTTCCGCTATTGTAGCGTCGGACGCGGCCCGCCGCACCGGCCGGTCAGCGGCAGAGGTCCAGGGCTGTGGCGGGCCGACGGGTCCGCCACGAGGTCACCCCGTCCGGCACGGCAGCAGAGGCGCGGACTCCACTTTCACCGCTCGGACCTTCGCGGGCACCACAAGTGCTGGTGTGGACCGAGGACCAGGGACGAACACGGGAGATGGCAAGCGGTAGCGACACGTAGGCCTCCACTGCAACGGCGACTGGAGGTAATAGGCTGAGGCTAGGTTTTCGTCGGACACCGCTTCCATTGACGCATCAACAAGATGGTTCTTGTGATGATGGAATTGCTAAAATACTTAAGAGGGTTATTGCAATAATGTAAATAATATGACAATTAGTACAAATCAAATGCGTTCAAAAACACACAAAGCTTTCGGTTTCAGCAGTCTTGTTCACTGTGACATAATGTGTAATCGGTACAAATATTCGCCGTAACCGTCTAGAGCTCTTGAAAATAACAATCAAGCAGAAGATCGAGCTTACTTCTTGGAGCAAACCGTTCTAAATGTGTAGCATCTTTTCAATGATATCGCAGTTCAAACTTAATGGGATTGAGTTAGCTGAATGGGGTGGGCAAATGCGTGAAGGAGTCGTCTCAATGATGGCCATCAGCTCAGAACAATGCTCTGCAGATGACTTGGGGAATAGGTAGCTCAACACTATTCCTCAGCCGTGGAGCTGAAAGATATTTAGCAATTTATATGGAGAGAAACGAACTGTATTCAGTAACGGGGAACAATCTACTGTCTAATGGCTACCAACACAATGTGCAAACTGCAAGAACTTTATTTTACAGAGGCTGATTCAAATGGATTCAATTACCTGGTTGATATAAATAACATGTAAACAGATTGCTGTCGAGATAAAAGATTTAGGCCAGGTGCCCGATGGATATCTGGGGCACTGATATCAACGTCTCGGGATTTTAAATGCTCTGAAGTAGAACGACTAAACGATAGCTATCATTGAAATGTTTGGCTTTCAATAAAGTGGGACACACAATCTGACAATAGATCGTATTTCCAAAGTGCTTTTAAACGTTTCTCCTTCTGACCGTTCGCGAGAAATGGTTATGGTCTTTGACCTGCATACTAAAGTGTCAGCAGCATTATTTTGTTGGCGCCGATGTCGTGTAGTTAGGTAATTAGACGACAGTGACCTAATGTTTATGTTTGTCTGTGTTCCAGGGCATGTCTCGCTGGTCGGCGGAGTCTCGCCAGTCCAGCGTCCGCTCCCTCCTGAACCATGGCCGACCTTCTGCGCGCCCGTCTGCCTCCCCTGCTGCTGGTGGTCTGCCTGCTGTCCTCCGCTGCTGCCTGGCAGGAGGACCTGGTGGCGCGCAACCCCAACACCACTCTAGGTGAGTACAGGACAATCCCATCTCTGCCGCCCTCGAGTTAGCTCCGCCCGCACCTTCAGAGTGGAGCCCGGACCTTTGCCATGGCACGCCCGGACTGGGACATGGGCAGCTATAGAGTGGACATGGCGGACACGGGCGGACACGGGTGGACACGGGCGGACACGGGTGGAGTCCCGACCCAGGTCACGTGCGGCCAGTCCTCTGAGCGAGACAGACCTGAGACCACCCGGCCAGTGACGGGCTCGGTCATCGCCAGCGTTCCGCCGCCGACTGACCGAGCTTCGAGGCCCAGCTCTATACCTCTGCGGAATAAAAGTGACCCATAATAGAAGGCCTGCTCGAAGTCGCCGTCCGTTAGGCCATAAATGTGCCGCGGAAAGTGGATTATTTAATGTCAACCGAAGCGATGAGGAAGAACGGCTGCATCTTTTCCGGTGATGTAGACAAAGTGTCTTTCCTTGTTGATCAGACACTAGTTGTAATGTGCAAATAAGGATGAAGCTCGTATTCCAGTAGAGTGTAGTATGGCGGTCGTGTCGGACATTGTATGGGTGCACTGTCCTGTACGACAGACAGAACAGGGCTGAGTGAGCATTCGGTATCGCCCCGGTACAGGTGGTGTCGACTTTCCGGGGCTGGTAAACAACGCGGCAACAAACACAAAAACAACACGTGCCGCACCAATTCGCAAAACTACCCAGCACCACGACATTGTCCGCGATGGTCATGCACATCCATCAGGATCGTGCCATGATTGTCGCAGCGTTCGTGCAGCGTCACATTAAGCCTAATCTCCACGGGCCCGATCATCAGGTGCCGACCGGTTTGCCAAGGTTCAGCTGGACTCTGGCTCCTGGCTCCGCCTGGCCAGGTGGCTCCTCGGAGTGGTTCGATGGGTGGCCGCGCTCCGTCACCCCGCCGTCGGGCGTGCCCTCATGTTTAGTGCATACGACCTGTCACGGGCGGCAATTCCCGGACCATGTTCTGATCGAGTCTGTGGACAGTTCCCGCAGCCAGCCGACGGTAAAAGCCTTGCTGATGTTGATCGGCCTGTCCGGTGGGTGGCTGTGACTTACCCTTCGGCTGGGCACTCCCCGTTCGCTGAAAGACTCCGCCACGGTGAGGTGGCTATCGACTATCGAGGCGTCCCCGTAAGATGTGCAGTCTGAACTACCTGGGACGTCCACTGCTACGCTCATCGATCCACAGCACGTCTGCCCATCGGCGGCCGGTTGGGACGCTTGAGATTGTGGGTAACGTCACGGGAACCGTCAAGCAGTGCCTCCGTCTGGGACCGTAGCGCCGCCTCGGGCCTCACAGGCGATCAACGTCTCTGAACAGTCGCATTACTGCCAATCAGTCATTGAGACGGACGGGCGGGCGGCGGACAGCGTGGCTACTGCGAGTGGCCAATCAAAACGGGATGTGACAGCTGAACATGTGACCGGACACGGTGCGCACAGACAGCAGAGTGATCACACTCGGCCAGGGCCGCTGTAAGAGGAGGTATGTGGGTCAGTCCTCAGCGGCTGAATCACCTGCCGGGGGCAGTTTGACAGGTCGCCGCGCCGGTCAGCTTCGAGCGATCGACAGACTGACGCGGCAGCATATCGGAGAAATCCGGACTTACCCAGACCTGCTGAAGGCATGCTGAGTATTCCCCCTATCAGTAAATATTTATTCCGACCCTCTAGAGCTAGGGGCGCCGGGTATTTCACCCACCACCTGTATGTGATAAACACTGAGATAATTATGATAATAGCATCGGTGACTCAAGCAATGCACCATGAGCGCGCTGTATGTAGATGTTGAACGTAATGCCGATCGCCTTGCAATGACAGTTTTGCTGATCATTTCGCCACTCTCCCTTCGCCTCATGCCCTGCATCATCCAGCGCTGTGTGTCGTATGCAACCATTAAGAGCATTATGGGTTGAAGGTCATGTTTGCCCATTCTCTGGTGTGGGAAAGTGCTGACCTTCGATTCGCCATTAAACACACCGCCTTGCAGCCCACGGCGTATGACATAATCTCTGCCGAACATATATCTTCTTGTAAGGAGAATCAAAGCGGTCGTGTCGCCGCCAATGACTCACAGTCGATTGCCCACTCCCCTCTCGTTCTGTTACGTCATAGGTCCATTGGTGAGAGCCATCAGCGGGGGAGCACTCTGGCGCCGTGCATGCTAATGGCCGCGGAGCGTGGCACGTAAAAAGTGCTCTAAGGAGTCGTGTCCATACTCCAGCGAACGAAGACGTCAGCCTTCCTGGAATAGCGGCTCGGTCATCTCCAGTGAATGGTCTGAACCGGCCTCCCGGTACGGATCGCGTTCACCTGTGTCTGGAGCGGTAACTCCTGGCCATCTCCCTCTGCTGAGCTACGTACTCCTTGCAGCCCTCACAGTCCCTCGCTGGGCCTAACGTTCCCGCTGACCCTTTAGTGCTCCCTTCCAGATCCCCCAAGGTATCTCAGGAGGGGAGCGTTCAGGGTGCTCTGCTGGTGCTCCCAGACCCGCTCTGGGACACGAATTCTCGGACCTGGGTGCGGCGCTCCCTCCCGCCCTTCCCTTCAATTGAAACGTGTCCTCACTCCATGCCCCATCCTGAGCTGTTCTTCACTCTCCAGTGTAAGACAGCTCGTATAAGTTGACCTCCACATCGTCCCACCAAGATGGGTCATCAGATCTTTATCTACGTTGCCTCAGGAGAGCTATCAAGGTCGATAATATTCGGTAAGAAAGGGTTCCCAATCCTTTTGCATTGCCGCTAGGTGATGGTGGGGTGCCCCTAAAACTCGATGCAAAACCGTTTGACATCGAACCCCGTGACACAATTTCCATGATGTAGCACCTCCTGCCCTCCCCTCCAGGCTCCAACACCTACTCGCCATTCATCTGCGCAACAATTGTCGGCGCGGCCTAAATTTGGCGCGGCCGGCGCCGCGCTGGCAGCAGTGTCGCGGCGGTGATGGGGCCACTCCGCCCCCTGCAGTGGCTTCAGTGATTCTGCAGGATAGCCTTACGCTCCACACCGACAGAGGCAGAGGTCCCCTGTTCGGAGATGTTCCGGGGCGCCGCTTCAAGCGGCGGGTAGTGGTCTACAACAGTGTCGCGCCGCCTCTTACTAACAACGCCGGAGCATCAGATGCAGGGGCGAGGTGGTTAGCAGGAGGGCCGCCCCGATGGCCGCTGATTGCAGGGAGGTTTGTGTGCTCGCCCTGCACAGGTGCTGTGCATAATGAGCTGCTCATACCACCCACCCAGGCGTGTTATCAGTTCGGCCGGCCATCCCGATGCATACATTACACCAGCGCGAGCAACAGCAGCCAGTCGTTCCGGGACGACTTCATTTGCAGTAGAGCACGGGCCTTCGGGCGCGGTTTGATCTACCTAGCGGACGAGCCACTATACCGGCCCATTAACCCAGTGCCGCTGGTTTCCGGGCACCGGGGCCGGGGCCGACCGGAGCGCTCGTGCCCAGAGCTCCGGCCTCGACCGAGATCGCGGCGCCGCTCGGCGAGCGCCCGAGTGTCGGCGGACCCCGCGGTCCCCGGCGGAGGCGACCCCGCCCGACCGAGCTGGTCTGGATGCCTCTGAGCACCTCTGAGCACCTCTGAGCACCCCTGAGCGCCCCTGAGCGCCCCCGGTCGTCTTTGGAACGCCGGTGGATCCCGTCGGACGCTGCAGACGGCGGGCCGTCCTCCGGGCGCTGATCGTGGCCAGATAGACCGGCCAGGGGACACCATCTCGTCGTGGCGGCGGCGGCGGCTGACAGGGTAGAGCCGATAGCCCGACGGGTGCCAGAAGGATGAAGTCAGCGGTGATGCCGCTCTACACGCCAAACTGATGAGATTGAGTGATAGTGACGATAAGTTACCGCCTTCATCAGAGTTCAATGGAGTTAGGTGCCTTCCGTAAAGGGCGATGATTTTGGACACGAGGGAGCCGATGGTTTGTCTCGTAATATGTTTCTGAAGACGGCATGACCTAACGTTTGTTCCGCGATGTTTCCTCTGTCAAATGTAATCCCCTATCTCCAAGCAACGTTAAATAATGGTTCACTGCATTAACCCGCGCCCGGCTGGGGGTCCTGGATTTCCACGCCCTGCTGGGGGGGGGGGGTGTTTGAACACCCCCCTTCTAACTCGGCTCCTGGGCCACGTAGCGATACGCGGAAGGCGGCGTTCGAAAGAGCGTCAAAAATAATGACGAAATCACTTCGGTCAATTTTTTGGTCAGGTCAAAGGTCAGGTCACCAGAGGTCATTGAAGGCAAAATTTCGCCGATTTCCAGGTCGAATGTCGAAAATTTCCAAGAAGCCAACGCATAACTCGGGAACCAATAGAGCTACAGCGCTGCGGAAAAGCGCATTGGATAGCCCTATTAACGCCCTTTCTGATTAATTCTCTCAGATTTGACCTAGCGTCAACGGTTTTGCCTGCAGGGGGCAAAAACTGCAAAAATAGCCGAATTTTTCGGAAACAGTTTTTCTGCAATAACTTTTGACCCAAGCCTTGTACGAGTTTACTTTTACCTGCATCGTGTTCCTCTCGTCAAGACGCATCGAATGAACTATAACTTGACCTTGAAAGGTCAACTTGAAAATTTGACCTCAGGTCAAGGTCATGACCTGACCTGAAAGGGTCATGTTGCATATCAGTCGATCCGTATCGTCGAGCTGAACACATCTAAGGCGTTTTCATCGCTCTAGCATGCCTCTATCAAAAGTTATTTGCGAAAAACTGTTCGATACCATTCGTGACCTAAGATGACCTCAGGGCATGAACAGGGGTCACGGACACCAATTTCATGTTCAGTGTGTCTAAACCACTTGTAATTCAGTGTTTGGGAGTGTTTATAATGTCTTTCGTCCAAAAGAGGCGCATTTCAATTTTCTCCCATTGACTTATAATGGGGAGGTCGCAAAATTGACCTGACCTTAGGTCATCGATATCAAAATTCTGAGATATACATTTTGTACATGCTATTGCTCTTAGCAATCG